TTTTTCTAGATTGATCACCTCACCTGTCCCCAAAACAGTTTCTTAGTTTGTGGTCTCTAAGAAGCAGACTCTCAAGTAAGAATTTCTGTGGTTGGAAAAAATTATAAAAGTCTATGAAATGAAAAATGAACAAAAAAACTACTGAGAGCCCTATCTAGCATACCTTCCCAGTTATCTCTATTTTTTCATTGTCTTTGAGCTATTTCTCAACTCTATAAACTGTAGAATAGTTATTAATGTAAATGATTCTTTTCCATACACACATAAATTATGTCCCATGGAATGTAATTGATTATTGTCCCATAGATATTGACCGGTTCTTCCAGTTTTGCACCTATTTGTAAATTTATTTCACAACATTCCTTACTGGCATCTACACGTAGCAGTTTGAATTTTCCTTTGAGTAGGGTTGTCATATTTAGTAAATCAAACTAACAAGATACCCAGTTATATTTGAATTGTAAATAAATCATTATTTTTTAGCATAAGGATGGTCCCATTAAAAATTTTATGTATACTTACACTGAAAAATTATAAGTTGTTTATCTGAAACTCAAATTTAATTGAGCATCCTGTATTTTATTTGGCAATTTTACCTTTGATTCAGTTGTAACATCTTACCAATTCCTTCATTTTTCTTATTAATAAGTTAAATAAAATCATTGATATGTATTTATTTCACAATTATTTGAGAGCCTTGATTTTACTTTTTAAAAAATCATCTGATAACAGCATACAAGTAGTTTATTTGGGTAGTAGGGAAATAAAGAAGTGAGACAAGGTAGGGAAGTCAGCTTATAAATATATATTATAAAGCCGGTTACTACTATGGGTAACTGCAGTTAACTCTCCCTGGGGTACTCCCAGTCAGTGTGGTACACATTCCTCAGAGTTATCTCAGCCCTGGGTCAGGAATTGTGGTATTTATCTACCAACTGCTATACTTAACACTCCATCCCAGACCTTTCTTTTGATCATAGACCATATACCTATGATTGATGGCTGCTTGCAAGGGAGTGGTTAATTCCCGGAATCTCCCGTCTGTCATGAATGTGGCCAAAGAGCCAACTCCAGGAATATTTGAGCCAGTATGCACTGAGGTTACAGAGACAAAAAAAATATAGGGAGACCACCAACAGCTTTAGTTACACTAGCCAAATGTACACATTTTTCAAGATAATCACAAATGCCACCTTCTCTATTACACCTTTGTTAGTTCCCAAGAGTGGTTAACAGAGTGCTTTGTGAACTCCTTATGCTTCATAAAGATGTCTCTAATAGAAACTTTAACAGATATTGCACTTATTTTTCTCAATATGTGAATCTCCTTCAAATAGAATATAAACTTCTGGACAATAGAGATCAAGTCTTACTAGTATATAAAGACCCAATTCCTGGTAGATAATCTAGAAAGTTTTGTTGAATTGATTAATTAATTAATTAAATGTATAGCAATTTGAAGGAAGAGGAAAATTGAAGAAGGCTTCAGCAAAGAGTTATATCTAAGCAGGGTCCTGAAGGATAATAGTCCACCAAGACAGAGAAGTCACTTCAAGCAAGGAAATCATTATAAGCAAATAAATGAAGAGAGATGATTTATATTCAGGCAGATGCTGTTTTCTCTTTTTAGTAGCAGCCATTTATCTTTCCCTATTATATTGGGTGTTATTTCATTTTTGCTCCTGAGTCATTTTAAAAGTCCAACCTTCAGGAAGGTCTTTAAGAAAGAATGACAGGGCTACACTGTGATAGTCTTTACCACAGCTTCTCCCAGAGTAAATAAAACCTAAAAACATGAGTAAATGTTTCCTCTGAAGCAATTCATCATGGAGAGGCACTACTAATACTGCTGTCATTTCCCTCCTACGAGGTCATAATTGCATTGTATTTCCTATGCAATCTAGATTTTCACACCACCTTCAAGATTGGTGTATATATAAACTCAATAATTTAAAATCATTCTCTTTTGTGTTCCTTACTAGAAAAATCTCAAAAACATTATCCCTTTTTTCCTGGTGTAATACCAGAGTTCCCAATATATACCTTTAATGGCTTGTTTTGTCAGTCTCATAATGAAGGCCTGGCTATCTCTGTCACTCATTTCTAGAGCTCACCAATTTTTATTTTAAAAGCTTGAAGATAAAAAATAAAAAGAGCTGTGCAGTCTAGCCAAATAAGAAATACAGAAATCATGAATAATTAAATAAGCATAACTAAGATATCTAATCACTGAAAATAAATGCTTTAGCATAAATCAAGAAATGTTAATTGAAGAGTTTAAGTCATAGAGTATAAGAAATTCAATGCTTATTTTATGAGGCAATAAGGGATGTGGAAGACATTCTGGGCTTTACCAGGAAGCATACCAGGTCATTTGATAATCAGATTTGACCAGTGAGACAAGACAGGAAGCCAAGACTCTGTGCCCAAAGCTTAGGGACAAAAACACAATCAAGACAACAAAAAGATGATCTTCGATGGATTAATCATCAATTTATCATTCTTAACTGATATTTGTAGAGGATGTGGCAAGTTCAGTCTTGACTGACATGTGCATTGAAGAGGAATTGTGCTTTTATGTATTGAACAATGTCTGTGTTTGCTGGTTACGGTCAAGTTCTGATCCACATTATGGATCCAGTAAATTCATTTCTTTTATAGCTGGTCTCCAGCCAGGAGATATTGTCCAGCCAACTTGTCCAAGATATCAGAATTACAAGTGTTCATGGTAGGATTAGTTTAAAATGTGGGAAGATCTTTTTTATTGGAGTCAAAGTGATCTGGGATAGCTAATCCATTTTCTTACCTTCTTATTCTCTATGAACTTCGGTTTGCTATGAATTCAATTTGCTTCAGTGAAATTCTAATAGATTATAATATCTTATGGGATTATTTGAGTATTAAATCAATCACTATATAAAAATCCCTTAGCTCAGTGTCTGGAAAATTGTAAGTGCTTGATAATTATTTTTTCTGCTTCTCTAAATTTCAGGAAATTGAGATAGATAAAAACTAATATTTTTTTGGCCAAAAATGGTGAATTTTGGAACCTATGGCTGGCTGAAGTACTCTGTAAAGTGCATACTATATAAGTCTCTAACCCTTAACAGCAGGGCTAGTTTTACACTGAATCCATTTTTAGACTTTGGAAACACCAAATGCATTGCCTTCCCTGGCCAGAATTATATTACGAACTAGGGCTGAGATGCGTGGAAAAAGAAGGTATCTTAGAAAGTTAAGGATGTTTGAATTACTACTCTCTTTATATGATAAGTTAAATGTATAAGCGTAAAATTGAATAGAAAGGTAACCAAATAAGAATATTTCATTGTTTTACTCTTTCCCTTGGTGGGGAAAGTTGTACTTCAATATGAATTATAATAATTTTTACTTATGCTTTAATTAAAAGACTCAAAATAAGTTACTTTCAAAATAATATTTCAAACAAAGCTTTGCAGACATCCTCTATAAAATAACATTGTGTCTTTGGGGATAAAAAGTTCTGACTAGTAGAGAATACCTTGTCGAGGAACTGAAAGGGGCTGGCCGGCTGCAAACAGACCAGGTCAATGAAATGATCAACATCATTAGTACTGAGACCACAGGACACCATTTCACAAGACACTGCTCAGTCCACATTCTGTGTCTGGACTTTTGCTTTCCATAGAAGTTCTGCTGAGGTGACCCTATTTATCTCTAGTCTTCACTGACTAAAAAAACACAGTTTTCTGGGTGAGATGTGGTGGGCTTTGAGGATCATTGCTGTTGTCCTGAAAAAGCTCTGGTGCCTACCAGAATCTTAAAATATAAATCCAAGCACCAAAAGTGCTTAAATTCTATTTTACTTTTTAAAAATTTTTTTAAGATTTTTATTTTATTTTATTTTATTTGCTGTGCTTAATTTTTATTTTTTTATTTTTCTAAATTAATTGATTTATTTTTGTTACAGATGTTTCTCCTTTTTCTCCCACTGATTCCCCACTTCCCCTCCCTCGCCACCCTGTCCCCAGCTTTGTTGTCCATGTCCATTGTTCATGCATGCATGTATATAAGTTCTATGGTTTATCTCTCCCCCACAACCCCGTCTTCTGGGGATTGTCAATCTGTACCCCACTTCCACGTTTCTGAGACTACTCCATTACTCAGACTGTTATGTTCATTATATTCCACAAATAAGTGAGATTATGTGATACATGACTTTCTCTGTTTGGCTTGTTTCACTTAGGATAATACTTTCCAGGTCCCTTCATGTTGTCTCAAATGATGAGCTCTTTCTTTCTTACAGCTGCATAGTAGTCCATTGTGTATACGTACCACGGCTTTTTTATCCATTCGTCTACTGATGGACACTTGGGCTGTTTCCAGATCTTAGCTATTGTAAATAGTGCTGCTATGAACATGGGGGTACATATATTCTTTCTGATTGGTGTTTCAGGCTTCTTTTTTTTTTTTTCACTGTCCAAGGTTTATTTGGCATTTTCGTTGGTATGACACTTGGATAGTTGGCTACATTATTTATATGTAGACTTTCCTTTTTACAGTATATGGCAATATACACTAATCTGATACATATACTACACAGAATAAAATCCTTTAGAACAGTTATGCACAAGACATGCAATACTGGATTTATACATTGGATCCCAGGATGAAATTGACTGGAGAAAAAAAAAGTTGGACTAGGCATGTTGGGTAAAGGAAGCAGAAGTTATATAACACAGTGAACACACATCTAGTTTGAAGGGCAACTGTAGTGTGTGCAACACTGGCAGTGGTGCCTTTGAGGTGGAACTATTTCACACGAGCCTGTTTAAGACTGCACAGGGTGAGCACCATCCAGCATCAGGATATACCTGCAGGATTTTATGAACCATTACTATTTCTATCTTTAGGAAACTGATGTTTTTAGTCACAAATCAGATAAAAAGGACAATATGCACAATCTCCAACTAAAATCCTGTGGTAGCCTAGACAGTGAGGTGGTATGACATGAGAAGACTTTAAAATTGCAGCCCTTTCTGGATCCCCCAAAGTGTGTCTGCACTCTTCTTCAAACAGGCTTCTTCCTCAGATGTCAGAGCCACCTTCACGACATCCGAGATTCCACTCTGTCCCAAGATGCAAGGAACACTAAGGAAGACATCTTCTTTTATTCCATAGAGACCCTTAATCATGGTGGAAATTGGATGCACCCATCTAAGATTCTTCATCATACTTTCTGCTAAATCTGCCACAGACAGTCCAATGGCCCAGGACGTGTAGCCTTTCAGTTTGATCACCTCATAAGCACTGCCAACCACCTGTTTGTGAACTTGTTTCCATTGTTCCTTATCTGCATCAGTGCCTAATTCAAGGCGCAGGATCTTTAGGGTGACACCAGCAACATTCACTCCACTCCATACAGGCACACTAGAGTCTCCATGCTCCCCAAGGAACCACCCATGACAGCTTAATGGGTGAACTCCCCCATTAGGTAACGGAACCGGGCTGAATCCAGATTGCAACCACTTCCAATAACACAGTTTTGGGGAAAGCCGCTTATCTTCCAAGCCACGTAGGTCAACATATCCACTGAATTGGAAACAATGAGCAGTTTGCAGTTGGGACTATATTTGACAACATTAGGAATGATGAATTTAAAGATGTTCATGTTACACTGGACCAAATTAAGACGGCTTTCTCCCTCTTGTTGATGTGCCCCAGCTGTGATAATCACCAGCTTGGAGTTTGCAGACACACTATAGTCTTTGCCAGAGACAATTTTTGGTGTTTTAAGGAAAAGGCTGCCATGTTGGAGATCCATCATCTCTCCCTTTAATTTTTTTTTTTATTAATTAATTGTTGTTACAGATGTTTCTCCTTTTTCCCCCACTGATTCCCCCATCCCCCTCCCTCCCTGCCCTTTCCCCAGTTTGTTGTCCATATCCACTGTTCATGCATACATGCATATAAGTTCTGTGGTTTATCTCTCTCCCACCACCCCCTTCTTTAGGGGATTGTCAGTCTGTACCCCACTTCCACGTCTCTGGGACTACCCCATTCCTCAGACTGTTATGTTCATTATATTCCACAGATAAGTGAGATCATATGAAACTTGTCTCTCTCTGTTTGGCTTGTTTCACTTAGGATGATACATTCCAGGTCCCTCCATGTAGTCTTAAAGGATGAGAGATCTTTCTTTCTTACAGCTGCATAGTACTCCATTGTGTATATGTACCACTGCTTTCTTATTCATTCGTCTACTGATGGAAACTTGGGCTGTTTCCAGATCTTAGCTATTGTAAATAGTGCTGCTACAAACATGGGGGTACATATATTCTTTCTGATTGGTGCTTTAGGTTTCTTAGGGTATATTCCTAGAAGTTGGATCACTGGGTCAAATGGAAGTTCAATTTTTAATTTTTTGAGGTAACACCATAGTGTTTTCCATAGTGGCTGCACCAGTCTGCATTCCCACCAGCAGTGTACTAGAGTCCCCTTTTCTCCACACCATCGCCAACACTTGTTGTTTGATGATTTGTTGATGGTGGCCATTCTGACAGGTGTGAGGTGATACTTCATTGTTTTAATTTGCATCTCTCTGATGATTAGTGATGATGAGCATTTCTTCATATGTTTCTTAGCCATTTGTATGTCCTGTTTGGAGAGGTGTCTATTTAGTTCCTCTGCCCATTCTTTGATTGGATTCTTTGTCTTCCTTTTGTGGAGTTGTATAAGCTCTCTATATGTATTGGAAATTAGCCCCTTATCTGATATATTATTGGCAATTATGCTCTCCCATACAGTGGGTAGCCTTTCCATTTTGATGATTGTATCTATCACTGTGCAGAAGCTTTTGAGTTTGATGTGGTCCCATGTGTTCATTTTCTCCTTTGTTTCTATTGCCTTAGGTGATGTGTCAGTAAAAATTCTGCTGCGTATGATGTCTGAAATTTTGTTGCCTACAGTCTCTTCTAGGATTTTTATGGATTCATGAGTTACATTTAAGTCCTTTATCCATTTTGAGTTTATTCTCGTATAGGGTGTAATTTGATGGTTTAATTTCATTTTTCTCCAAGTAGCTGTCCAATTTGCCCAGCACCATTTATTAAAGAGGCTGTCCTTACTCCACTGTATGCTCTTGCCACCTTTGTGAAATATTAATTGAGCATATTGCCTTGTGTCCATTTCTGGGTTCTCTGTTCTGTTTCACTGGTCTATATACCTGTTCTTGTGCCAGTACGAGGCTGTTTTGATTACAGTGGCTTTGTAGTATAACCTGAAATCTGGTAATGTTATCCCTCCAACTTTGTTCTTCCTTTTCAAGATTGCTGTGGCTATTCGAGGCCTTTTTTAGTTCCATATGAACTTTTGAAATAATTGTTCTAATTCTGTGAAGTATGCCATTGGTATTTTGATGGGGATTGCATTGAATCTATAGATTGCTTTGGGTAATATGGACATTTTAATGATGTTAATTCTCCCAATCCATGAACAGGGTATGTGCTTCCACTTTTTTTTATCTTCCTCTCTTTCTTTTTTCAATTACCTGTAGTTTTCTGTGAATAGGTCCTTTATTTCTTTGGTTAAGTTTATTCCTAGGTATCTTAATTTTTTTGCCGCAATGGTAAATGGGATTGTTTTCTTAGTTTCTCTTTCTGTGAGTTCATCAGTGGTATATAAGAATGCCATCGATTCCTTGACGTTAATTTTGTACCTGCTACTTTGCCAAATTCATTTATTAAGTCTAGTAAACTTTTGATGGAGTCTTTGGGGTTTTCTATATTCTCCCTATAATTTGTCTTCCATGACATCAATGAGAGCAAGTTCATCTGCCAAGTCCTTCATTAAGATACTGATGGCACAAGCCATGCCAACAGCACCAAAGCCAACAACTGTGATCTTATTCTGGGGTTTTTGTTCTTCCTTAAGAAGATTCACAATCAGCTGATCCTTGAGCATTGCCATACTGGACTTAGGAATCGAGAGTGCACGGCGGGCGGTCGTCGGTGGCGCGCGACATTGGATCCGGACTTGGCGGCAGCTGCTCCGGTACTCTGTTTCAGGCTTCTTAGGATATATTCCTAGAAGTGGGATCACTGGGTCAAACGGAAGTTCAATTCTTAATTTTTTGAGGTAATACCATATTTTTTTCCAGAGTGGCTGCACCAGTCTGCATTCCCACCAGCAGTGTACCCTAGTCTCCTGTTCTCCACATCCTCGCCAACACTTGTTTGATGATTTGTTGATGGCGGCCATTCTGACAGGTGTGAGGTGATACCTCATTGTTGTTTTAATTTGCATCTCTCTGATGATTAGTGATGTTGAGTATTGCTTCATATGTCTCTTGGCCATTTGTATGTCCTGTTTGGACAGGTGTCTATTTAGTTCCTCTGCCCATTTTTTAATTGGGTTCTTTGTCTTTCTTTTGTTGAATTGTATAAGCACTCTCTCTATCTAGGAAATTAACCCCTTATTTGATGTATCATTGATAATGATGTTCTCCCATTCAGTGTATTGTCTTTCCATTTTGATGATTGTTTCTTTTGCTGTGCAGAAGCTTTTGAGTTTGATGTAGTCCCATGTGTTCGTTTTCTCCTTTGTTTCTGTTGCCTTAGGTGATGTATCAGTGAAAATTTTGCTGTGTATGATGTCTGAAATTTTGTTGCCTACATTTTTTTCTAGGATTTTTATGGATTCATGGGTCACATTTAAGTCTTTTATCCACTTTGAGTTTATTCTTGTGTATGATGAAAGTTAATGGTCTAATTTCATTGTTTTGCATGTAGCTGTCCAATTTTCCCAACACCATTTATTAAAGAGGCTGTCTTTACTCCACCGTATGCTCTTGCCACCTTTGTCAAATATTAATTGAGCATATTGTCTTTGTTCCATTTCTGGGCTCTCTATTCTGTTCCATTGATCTATCTGCCTGTTCTTGTGCTAGTACCAGGCTGTTTTGAATACAGTGGATTTGTGGCATAACCTGAAATCTGGTAATGTGATCCCTCCAACTTTGTTCTTCTTTTGCAAGATTGCTGTGGCTATTCGAAGTCTTTTTTGGTTCCATATGAACTTTTGAAGTATTTGTTCCAGTTCTGTGAAGTATGTCATTAGCATTTTGATGGGGATTGCATGGAATCTATAGATTGCTTAGGGTAGTATGAACATTTTAATGATGTTAATTCTTCCAATCCATGACCAAAGTATGTGATTCCACTTTTTTATATCTTCCTCTATTTTTTTTTTTTTTTCAATGACCTGTAGTTTTCTGCGAATAGGTCCTTTATTTCTTTGGTTAAGTTTATTCCTATATATCTTGATTTTTTTTTGCTGCAATGGTAAATGTGATTGTTTTTTACTTTCTCTTTCTGTGAGTTCATCATTGGTGTATAAGATACTGTTGATTTCTTGATATTAATTTTGTATCCTGCTACTTTGCCAAATTTATTTATTAAGTGTAGTAAATTTTTGATGAAGCCTTTGGGGTTTTCTATGTACAATATTGTGTCATCTACGAATAATGACAGTTTCACTTTCTCCTTTACAATTTGGATCCCTTTTATTTTTCCTTTCTGTCTGATTGCTGTGGCTAAAACTTTCATAACTATGATAAATAAGAGTGGCGAAAGTGGGCATCCCTGTCTTATTCCTGTTCTTAAGAGAAATGCTTTTAGAAATTTGTCTATTTCACTTAGATTGTCAAATTTGTTTCTGTATAATTATTCATAATATTTTTCACAATCCTTTGTATGTCTGTGGTGTCAGTTATTATTTCTCCTCTTTCATTTCTGATTTTGTCTATTTGGGTTTTCTCTCTTTGTTTCATGGTGAGTCTAGCAAATGGTCCATCAATCTTGTTTATCTTTTCAAAGAATTAGCTCTTTGTTTCATTGATCCTTTGAATTGTTTTTTTGGTCTCCATGTCATTTATTTCTGTTCTGATCTTTACTATTTCCTTCCTTCTACTTGCTCTGGGGTTTTCTTTTTGTTTGCTTTCTAGTTCTTTAATTTTTGAAGTTAGATAGTCTGTTAGAAATTTTTCTTCCTTTTTGAGGTAGGCCTGTAGTGCTAAGAACTTCCATCTCAGAACTGCTTTTGCTGCATCCCATAGATTTTGTGTTGTTGTGTGTTCATTTTTATTGGTTTCCAGGAAGTTTCTAATTTCTTCCTTTACCTCCATGGTAACCCATTCATTGTTCAATAACATGCTATTTAGCTTACATTTTTTTTTTTTTATCCTCACTCGAGGATATTTTTCCGTTTTTTGTACAGATAGAGTGGGAGGGAGAGAGAGGAAGGAGAGAGAGAGAGAAACATCGATGTGAAGGGACACATCGAGTGGCTGCCACCCGCACGACCAACCAGGGCCGGGGACAAACTGCAACCGAAGTACGTGCCCTTAGCGGGAACTGAACCCGGGTCTCTCCGGACCGCAGGCCGACGCTCTAACCGCTGAGCCAAACTGGCCAGGGCTAGCTTACATTTTTTTAAATGTCTTTGCATGTTCTTGTTGCAATTGATTTCTAGTTGCATGTCATTGTGATTTAAGAAAATGCTTGATATGATTTCAATCTTCATGAACTTGTAGAGACTTAATTTGTGCCCTAACATGTGGTCTATCTTTGAGAATGTCCCATGTGCACTTGAGAAGAATGTGAATTCTGCTGTTTTGGGGTGTAATTCTTTGTAGATATCTCTGAAATGCATTTGATCTAGCACTTCATTTTGAGTCTGTGTTTCCTTGTTAATTTTTTGTCTAGATGATCTATCTAGTGATGTCAGCGGGGTATTGAAGTCCCCTGCTATGGTTGTATTGCTGTTGATTTATCCTTTTAAGTCCTCCAGAAGATTTTTAATACATGTTGGTGCTTCTATGTTGGGTGCATTTAAGTTGACCAAGGTTATATCTTCCTGTTGGATAGATCCTTTCAATATTATGTAGTGGCCTTTTTTGTCTCTAGATATGGCCTTCATTTTGAAATCTACTTTATCAGATATGAGTATTGCTACCCCAGCTTTTTTTTGCTTTCCATTTGCTTGAAAGATTTTTTTTTCCATCCTTTCACTTTCAACCTATGTGATTCTTTTGTTGCGAGGAGGGTCTCTTGTAGACAACATATAGATGAGTCATGCTTTCCTATCCAGTCAGCTACTCTGTGTCTTTCTATTGGAGCATTCAAATCATTTATATTAAAAGTGATAAGGACTTATTTATTGACATATTTGTTTAGTGTGGTTCTATTTTTCTTCCTATTCCTTTTATTAATTATAGCAGTCCTTTCAGCATATCTTGCAGTGTTGGTTTGGTGTTAATATATTCCTTTAGCCTTTTTTTGTCTGGGAAGCTCTTTATTTGACCTTCTATTTTGAATGACAGCCTTGCTGGGTAGAGCAGTCTTGGATTCAGATCCTTGTTTTTCATGACCTTGATTACTTCATGCCATTCCCTTCTGGCCTGTAGTGTTTCTTGTGAGAAGTCAGCTGAGAGCCTTATGGGGTTTCCTTTGTGGGTAACCTGTTGTTTATCTCTTGCTGCCTTTAGGATTCTCTCTTTGTCTTTAATTTTTGGCATTTTAATTACTATGTGTCTTGGTGTGGTCCTGTTTGGGTTCTTCTTACTTGGGGCTCTCTGTGTTTCTTAAACTTGAATGCCTTCTTCCTTCACCAAGTTAGGAAAGTTTTCTCTCACTATTTCTTCAAATATATTCTCTAACCCTTGCCCATTTTTTTTCTTTTTGGGGACTCCAATGATGCAAATGTTATTATGTTTCCAGTTTTTCCAAGGTTCTCTTAAGCTGTCTTCCTGTTTTTAATTGTTTTTTCCTTTTGGTTTTCTGATTGGTTGTTTTTTTTTCTACCCTGTCTTCTAATTCACTGATCCAGTCCTCAGCTTCCTCTACTCTGCTGGTTAGTCCTTCCAATATGTTCTTTATTTCTGCTATGCCATTCTTCATTTCCATTTGGTTGGTTTTGAATGTTTCTATATCTTTTCTCGTGGTGCTGATGTCCTAACTCATGATGTTGAGCTTCCTCAAGATCATGGCTCTGAACTCCACCTTTGATAATTTGCTTTTCTGCATTTCATTTATGTCATCTTCAATAGAGTTCTCTTGTTCTTTCTTTTGGGATTTGTTTCTTTGTTTCACCATTTTTATTATCTCAGTGGGTTTTGGAGCCTGCCAAATTTTCCCTGTGGGTGTTGTTGTTCTGCTGTTTGTGGCTCCCCACTGGGTTTGGATGAACCTGGGTGGGCCCATGTTAAACACCACAGTCAAGTCTTACTTTCCTGGGTAGATTTGCAAGCCCAGGAAAGGTTCAGTTATCCTCTTGCTTTTTCCTTGAGGCTAGTAGTTTTAGTTACTCAGTGCCTTGGAATGTAGTTGTGGTGTTTTGCATAAGAGGATTTCCAGAGGGTGGGATAGATGCTGATTGTTAATGAGCCTCAATTTGCATTTCTTTGGCCCACCTGAGAAAGGCTTAATCTCCAAGGTGGGGGGCTGCTGCTTTTCCCCACAGCTCTGGGAAGGAGCACACTGGCCAACGTCCTTTGTGGCTGCAACTCAGCAAAAACTCTGAATGCCCTCCAAATCCCAGTTGTCCCCACAGAGTTCCAGCCCTGTCTGCCCTCCTGCTGCCAGGTGAGTGGCTGTGGCTATTTTTGCACTCTGTCCCGGCTCTCTGTGCTGTGGAACAGGCTTGGTGTTTATTCCCCAAGGGTGCTGCTGACACCTAAGACTGCTGATGACCGTGTGCTCCCAGCCAGCCACCCTCTAGAGCCTCTGCAGATCCTACCAGTGTTCCTGGTTATATGGTCCTGTCCTGCTGCTTTTCTGTTGGTATTTTCCGAGGATTTGTCTTTATTTTACTTGTAATTCCCATTTGGTCCTGGGAGATCTTCTGTGTAGCTTCCATGCACTCCACCTCCATTTTCACATCCTCTAAGCCTATCTTGTAGGCAGTTGGGTTGCACAGGCCTCTCTGGTGC